GGAAAGAGTTTTTCCTAATATCCAATCTAGACCTCCCCCACTGCAGCTTGAGACCATGGCCTTCCACTGGACTCTCTCTAATTCGTCCACACCCTTTCTGCAGCGTGTGTGGGTGACCTGTACGCCAGACTCCACACGTGACCTCTCCATGCTGAATAGAGGGGAATAATCATTTCCCTCAATCTGCTGCAATGCTTCTACTAATGCAGCCCCTAGGCTGGTCCCTGGGAGTGGGATGGGCAACCAAGGCCCACGAGTGGGCCACCACACTGTACCAATGAGTGGTCTTGCAAAAAAGTTAACCTGCAAGATTTTAGGTCACAAAATGCCCTAGAGGCACATTTTTTCCCTAACATGTCCAAACGGCAGAACCTGGGACATCCATGCTCCTGAGAATATAAGGAACAAGAAAATGTTCCTATAGAACACCTATAAAAAATGGGGTACCCCAGTATTCCTGGGGAGCAAGGAAAAAAAGAGGGTTGGCACAGGGTATGAAGTGCAGTCAGAATCCCATTCTAAAAGGGTGGCCCCGAATGGGAAAACTGGGCTCCCTCCAGGAACTGCCCCCGTGGTGGCGATCTTTAGGACGATGGGAGTAAAGCAACAGCTGTAACTGGTGTGGGATGTAGCTCTGCTTAGGCTGCTGCACCATCACTCACCTGGACAAAGGAGCCGCGACGTTCTGGAGGCGGTCTGGCCTTGTTGAGGCACTAGAGCTGGAACAAGGCGCAGAGGAGAGCTTGGCCTGGAAGGCACCAGAGCCAACCCCGCCAGGGTGGAACACGTCATTACCAAGTGCCCTTGAACTAAAGGCTGCACCCCGCACTGCCAGCCTCGCTCACCCTCCACCCCCATGTGAACTCGCTGCCGCACACCTCTCAGCTCTTCTTCGGCTCCTGTTATTCCAGGGAAAGGCCCCCAGCGGGGGAGGAGCGGACGGCTCACCAGCAAGTCTCCTCGGCCTTCAGGCCACACTCCCTCTCGTCAGCATACGAGAAACGCGCCACTTTCCCTCCTTTCCAGGGAGCGGTTCTGCGCTTGGCCCCGGGATGCGATTTCCTGCCAGTGGACGGGCTCTCCAGCCTTATTTGCCCCTCTTAGGGAGGGCTGGGAGTGAGGTAGCCAAAGCACCATGCTGATACCAGACCACCTGTCCTGCCCTGCCCAGGGGGCCAACGTGCAACTGACTAGGTCCATGTGCCCCTGAGCCGGGACCCGTTGGCCTTCAGCAGGCCTGATGCTGCCATCTGCCCCGCAGCCTCAGGAGCACATGGAGCCGCTGCTCCCCCCCCCGCCCACCCGC